GGCGGCCCCGCCCGGCGGTCGTTGGCGGAGCGGCGGGAAAGAGCGCGTCGTGAGGGAGAGCGGGCGCGGTAGGACCGGGTGGGGTAGGCCGGGCCGCGTCCGGGGGGGCTGCGCAGCGGCTCTGAGCGCCGTGTGTGCGTCCGCCCCCGGGGGGCGGCGAGAGAGAGGGTGCTGTCACCCGTAACCGCTGCTTGTGCCTTTCAGCCTGAATTTCAAGGACCCCGAGGCGGTGAGAGCCCTGACGTGTACCCTCCTGAAGGAGGATTTTGGGCTTACCATCGACATCCCCGTGGAAAGGCTTATTCCTACCGTTCCCTTGAGGTTGAACTACATCCACTGGGTGGAGGATCTCATTGGTCATCAGGGTGCTGACAAGCAAGTCCTGAGGCGAGGCATCGACATAGGTACTTGGAAACGCAAAAAGTTATATTTGTTATTTGCTGCCAATGAAACTAGCTGATAAAATTTGTTATGCATCCATAGGGAAACGTGAGGTTTGAGAAACAGAAAAATCTGAGTTGTGCTTCCCGTGGTGAAATGGGCAATCTGACTCCACTGGTATTTTGTTTCGCTTCTCCGTGGGTAGGATTTCTCTGCACAAACACACGAATGACTGTAGCAGGCAATTATTTGGCTTTTTGTGCCTTAAACTCTTTTGCGAATAGCTTTGTGTGGTATACAAAAACTATGCTGCCAGTAACAGGCAAAAATGTCATTCTAAAGGATTTTTTTTTTTAAGATGGTATTTCTTCTCAGTCTTCTAACTAGTGAATTATGTTATATTAGCAATTTATTAATTTTGCTTTTGGATGTCTACACGAGAGAGTTTGTGAGCTGCATAGCAAAATTTTCTAGTGTTCCTTTTAGTAAAAGTTATTCTGTGGTTTCAGGTGTATTTGACAGATGAATGATCTTATTTTTTTAAATTTTGATATTTTTTTTGGTGTGGGTTTTTTTTTTCAATGCAGCTATTTTCATGAGCTACATTGTAAAAGAAGATTAATTAGCAACTGAGGCAAATACTCACAAAGCTGTCCTTTGGTTGTAGATGGTCAAAGTTTTCCTGTATGTTGTTGACATCAAAGTGTTCTTTTAAACTGGACTAAGCATCCATAGATGGATGATACTATCTAGTGCACAAGTCTAGGAGTGTTGCAACTTGCTCTGTTTCAGTATCTGGATTATTGGATAATATCTGGACAATATCTGGATTAAGCAGTAGATGAAAGTAAACAGTTATTCAGTAGAGATGTGAATTTGTAAGATGTGCACTGATGCATGTAATTTGGTTTTCCTTAGACATAAAAAAAAAGGCAAGCTCTCTAGGAGCAAGAAATTATATTCCATGTACAGATAATAAAATTTTGGTGAATCTGTATGGTCATTTAAAAGGCACCTGCAATCGTACATTTGAGTTTAGTTCATATCTTTTGTTTTTGTCAATAGCATCTTCCTTTATGATTTCAAAGGCTTTTTTTGAACATTGTTTTGTGCTGAAGTAAACCCATAATGAAATTGGGAGAAGCTGGAGTTTCCTTTCTAACTTGTGTTTAATGTTTGACATTAAAACTTTAAAGTTACTGACTTCAAAGGTTGGGTTCAGTAATCTCAGTTACCATACCATTTTTTTCATTACTGTTTGCTTGGTGTTGGCTAGCATGATTTTTTTTAATGGAATTTTTGATCTCTATGTCATCACACGGTGTGTGCACAGCTGCTTTCCTTTCATAACATCTAAACTTGTTAGCCAGCCTCTACGCGTTTGATACTAGGTTACATTTTTGAAAACAGTTTGTATGAACTTCATCACAGTAGGTGGCTAGGTAGAAGAGGGAGATCCTTTAAGTCCTCCAAATATTGAGAAGTCTTCAGTTTGGGTTTGCAGTGAGCATTGATGTTCCAACTCTGGCAAAGCAGAGTTCCTTGTCCAAAAGGAGTGTTACAGGAGTGCTGGAAATAACTGCATGCTTTTGTATACTGGCAGACTTATTTACTTATTTATGTTTAAATAAGTCAGTATGACAGTAGACTCTCAATATGTCTTTGAACTCAAGTTTTGTGGTGGTGAAATATCTTTCCCTTTTCTTGTATCCATTCCCTTTAATCCTAAATTTGACTGTCACTGGTAGTGTGATCACCAGATATGCCATAATTATAAGGAATTACTTTGTGCTAGCATATACTTCTCTTTGTTACCAAGTTTTTATCTGTCTGGCTATCTTTTTAAATATCTTAATTGGCACCTCTGTTTCTTTGATTGTTTCGGGCATTGGGGAAAGACAGTCTGATGAAACAGAAATGTTTTTTGGTTTTGTTTTTTTTTTTGTCATTGCTGTATGTGTCAAAGTAAATTATTTGTGGTAAATAGTAGAAAAATGAAGAAGAAAAATGTATTTGTGATGTCGTGTGGTTTTTTTTTAGTAAAACTAGGATATATTTGGCTTTCACTATACAAATTAATCACTGTCATAGAGAAAAAAATAGCTTAGAAAGCTGATCATTTATTAGAAAATTTATTCCAGAGTATTCTTTATTTTATTCAAAAGTGCATCTTTGACATTGCTGTATTTCAAATTAAGAAAATAAAGTTCACTAAAGAACTGAGTAATAGATGATTAGTAATCAATGTTTTCTTGAAATTAGCGCTCTCTGTTGTAAAAAGTACATAGTTAACAGCCGCATTTAACAGCAGAGACTTGTTTTGCCTTTCTCATGGCTTTTCACTTCTGCAGGGACAGGGGCATCTTGCATATACCCATTACTTGGAGCAACTTTGAATGGCTGGTATTTTCTCGCAACAGAAGTGGATGATATGTGCTTCAATTATGCCAAGAAGAATGTGGAACAGAATAACTTGTCTGATCTTATAAAAGGTACGATACAATAAGGTATTTAGTAGCATACAGATGTTGTGATGTATTTTTGCCATGTTCAGTCGCATATCAGAATCTGTATACCTGACAAACACATGCTCTATTGTTCTTGCTGAGCCAGAATGTTGACTAAGGTCTATGTATGCTTAAGCCAGGAAGTCACAGCTTGTCTAGAATGGGATGTGTGGATAGAGAACTACTCATTCTTAACAAGAATCTGGAAGTTAAACTTCACCCTGGGGTATTTACCTCTCTCCATATTTTTTTGTCTGTTACTGAAGTATTACTTAGAGTTCATGCTGTTTCTGCTGCTAGGAGACCTGGAGTGCTCCCCTCGGATAATTGGCGTGACACTGCCACATACATGTGTCTTGTACTGAGAGAGTCCTTCATCCATATTTCTGAATTAAGTCCTAACAGTGTCTGTCTGTGGTAGTAGCAGTATGCCAGGCTTGACCTTGGAGAATTTTCTGTGGGAGCTTGGTACACTAAAAAGCAGGTCCACTCTTCAGCTCGAAAAGAAAAACTTTACTTCTGCTGGATGTTGGAAATATCCTTTTTACCAAAATGTTGTTCTCTTGGTCTGTCCTCCGTGTCAGCCTTGAAGACCCAGAACCTTATGTGGAGAACAATGACAGTTTTCTGTTACTGCTGCCATCATAGGATTTTTAGTGGTGTGGTGCTGTTTCACTATACTGGAAAAAACTCTGGCAAGGAAAACGCCTTATGTGAAGCTGTAGTGCCCAAGATGATAAGCGGGAGTGAATGACTGATTGCTGGTGGCCAGAGCCACGGGCAAGGGAGTACCACTGGTGGTACACGTAGCCAGATGCTGCCTGGTAATGATCCACCCTGCCACTTTTTAATTTCGGGGCCTGAATTGTTTAGCTAGAGCTGAGTATGCTACTGTAGCTGGTAACTTGTTTAGCAAGGCATTTTGGAGTCAGGTTAGAAATCTTTCTATACCCTTGTTTGTTTTGTTTTGGTTTGTTTTTTTTTTTGTTGTGGGTTGCTTTAAAAAGAAAAAAAAAACACGCAAATTAAATTTTTGTCATGTTCTAAGTGTCTGTCTGGAAATTTTTGCCAAACAGCTTCATTTGGAGGTCATGTTGGAATATAGTCTTTGTTCTTCTAACTTCAATGAATAAAAATAGTTCAGTGATAGTAAAAACAGCAGTAATGTCGTGATGATTTACTAATTGCATTATAGCTTCTTTTTTCACCAGAGGATGAAAAAGTAATGTGTTTTTGGCTGAAAGTGAAACACTGCTTGCAGTAACTGTCTTACAAAGGGAATCTCTCCTATATGTGCGAAACAGAAACTTGATAAACCTGGGGATTGATTGTAAGTGCTGAAAAAAAATTACATGGTATTCAGAGTTATCTGTTTTACTGGAATGGGATGATGGTCAGAATTTGTCTGCTGGTATATATAAAAAACCAAAACAATTATAAAAATATAAGTACCCTTTGTGTAATGGTAGGATAAGAGATTTTCAACAACTTGAACTCTGGAAGTTTTCAGCCTACTTGCAAGGTAATTTAGGCTTGCTCTGCAACATGGTTATTACATTGTTTGCTTCCTGTTTGTTTTATTTGCTTTATTATTTCCAAAGGAAATCCAATACTGCCAATTAAAGCTATGTCAATTAAGCTAGCTATGTAGGTGGAATGTGGTATTCTTTGATGTCATCTTCTAAATAACTTTACAGTAATTTTAGAAAGTGTGTACAGTAGGCCATGTGTTACTGCTCAGATTAACATGATCTTTTTGCAGACTTCTGCTCGTCTTAGACCCGTTGTCTGCTTTCTCTACTATAAAAACTAATTTTGTGTGTTTTCTTTTCTGTTTTCTTTTTTTCTTTTTCCTCTTCCTTCAAATTCAAAAGGGTATTGCTGACAAAGGCAGTGAAATACTATAACCGTGAGCTGGGTATTTCAAAGCATTTGTATAAGTAAATGTCTCCTGTGTGCAGCAGCAACTGCTGTGTTACACCTCAGTGCACTGAGCAGATTATGGAGACATGTAGTGATTTCTTAGAAGACTGTAACCTGAAAACCATCAGTCTAATGGATATAATGCCTGGCTGAAGAACTTTTGGCCTGGACTGTGATGTGTAATTTGACTAGTAGTTTGTATTTAGTAATTTCTAATTAGTAATTACCAATTTCATTTACCATTATTTAATGTTGCAAGAGAAGCAGGGGAACAGATATCTACAGAGATAAGGAAGAATCACACTTTAATGTCAACAATTTTAAGTGGGAACAACTTAATATAAGGAGAAGGGCTAAGTGTTTAATTTATAAATTTAGGATTATAAAACAGGGAACAATGTGTTGATACATTTTTCAAAATGAACTACCCTTCTAATCTCATAGGATTTAAAATTTGTTTAGCTCTTGACTATAAACTTCTGTACTGTGAAATATTTGTGAGTTACAGCTTTAAAGGTAGTGGGTGTTTTAGGTATTATTCTTGCTGTATATAACCTGAACTTAGGGTCGCTGGCAATTACTGAACAATTTTGTGTTCTTAGGATGATGATAAACTAATAGTAAATGTTAGGAAGAGAGGCATGCCTTCTGCCTCTGTTCTAAATATCTTTGCTCTATATGCAGCATCCATAAGTTGCAGGACTGGTAAATTCTGCAAGAACTCCTGCTTGTAATAATGCTTTAATTAGACTTCGTGCATATTTAAATTCCTGCTCCTTGGGCTAGAGTTCCTGTGGTCTTCAGAAGATGTGTGACAGGACCTGACCACAATTTCCAAGGGAATTATATAGCCTTTGGGGAAATGCAGTGGAGATCTATGTGGGATGTTTGCCTTCGTCCTTGTGATGAGTAATAATAAGTTGGTGGACTGTAGTATGTAGAAGGTTTCTCCAGAAAGGAACTCTAATCTTTTTCTTTTGTTGTGATTTTTCAAAATCGTAAGACTACAGTTCCTGTGCAAGATGCATAGTTTTGTTAACACAGTAATTCTGTTTTATTATAAGATTAGATGTAAAGCTAGTCTTGGTGCTGTATAGCTTCAGTGAAGGTAGCTTAACCTTAGTCTTTCTCTTTCTTAGTGTTACACTCTGGAAAGGCCAAACAGTACATGTTTTTGAGTACCATTCTAGAATTCCATATCTGTAAATAAATAAATTGTTTAGACTAGGATTTCTTTATCTCTGAGGAGCCTGTGGGGTAATTAGCTGACACTTGTGTTAATTTTTGGAAGGGCTTAAAGTGTATTTGTAGTTGCATCAGAGAGCTCAGTATCAAGCAGTTCCTATTGTTTTAAACTGACTCATTTAATTCTACTACTGTGTATAAACATAGGAGCTGTTTGTATGCTAATCCTTAACCTGAAGTCTTTATTTGGATGCTGATATTTGTTATATTTTTTTTGTAGAAAATATTGTTTAGAAAGTATGTTTTTTATACAATGTATTGTTTCAATAAACACGAAACATAAATGGCATGCCAGATAAAATCTGAAGTTCCTTACTGACCAAATTCCTGTTTTCTATTAGTGGTTAAGGTACCACAGAAGACTCTTCTAATGGATGCACTGAAAGAAGAATCTGAGATCATTTATGATTTCTGCATGTGTAACCCCCCCTTTTTTGCTAACCAGTTGGAAGCGAAGGTAAGTTAACAAACTAAATGTTGCATGTACTTCAGTGTTCGGTGAGTGGGAGGGTAGCAACAACTTAACCTCTTTCCTTAGGGAAGGTTGAGTGGAAAATCCCAAATCATGATGAAATAGGATTTAAGTCTTCTCCTTCTCCCCCCCACCCCAAAGGAGTTTTTCAAAACTTAACCGTTACCCTTCCTAAAGTGGAGGATGATCTGTAGAATTTTTTCATAAGTTCTTACTGTCTTACAGAATGAGTTTGGAAAGTAGACAGCTAGTAAACTGAAATAGAGTGCCCGTTGCATAACAGTGGTACAGAGGAATTAGTTTCTGGCATCGTGCCTGTCTGTGTTTTCATTTCCTTAGTGATTTAAGTGATATCATACCGTTCGGAACAGTTCTTGCAATACCCACTAAGTATAGTCAGAAACTTAACTCTATAATATAGGGCAGTAGAAAAAAGATTTAAGTGTTGAAATTAAACACTATAGATTGTAATTATGTAGATGCATGTAACCAGCATGTCTTACATGTATTGGAACTGCATATTTCATATTAGCAGGATACTGATGTGTGACAAGTAACTTCCCTAGGTTTGAGATCGTAGGGAGTTCCACTCAGTTGTGCTTATTTTGAATGTATCTTTGCCAATTATTCATGGTTCTGATTGGGGGAGGATAACTAGCAGTGGTGATGCTTGCAACCCACTAAAGATTGAGGGAGCAAGTAGTGTACAAAGCAGCCTAACATTTCATTAAATGTTAATCTCAATGTTCTTTTTTTTTTATCCAGGGAGTAAATTCTCGAAATCCACGGCGTCCCCCTCCCAGTTCTGTAAATACAGGAGGGATCACAGAAATCATGGCTGAGGGAGGAGAACTAGAATTTGTCAAAAGAATTATTCATGATAGTCTACAACTTAAAAAGAGGTTACGGTAAGTGCTTTGTTAAAAAAATATCCCACCTTTTATCTGCAGAAATCATATGAAAATGATATTTTAAGTAAGGAGTGTAGCTGTGGTCCGGTGGTATCGCTTTGGTTAGTTTAATGATATATACACATCAGTAATCAGTCTCAGTTTATGTAAAATTAGTTGTTCCTGAGCATCAAACAATTACAATTCATCATTGGAGATATTTAAAGGTGGAAGGACAAAAATCTTTCATGAGTGACACTTGTAGCTTGCAGCTAAATTAGCACACGTACTTGCCAAAGACAGTCAGGGTGGATTCTTAAGGGCTTCTGGGATGGAGGAGGATGTAGGACATTGCCTAGTTATCTGTTCATTACCTGAAAGTTTCTGTCTTTTCCTGGCTGAATTTTGGTAACTTACAGCTTTGCCTACTAAAGGGCACTGTTGTACTGAATGCTGTCTGGGATGAACATAAGCTGCAATAAAAATCATAGTGAGACCTTTTGAACAAGATGAACAGATTGCACATCTTCAGGTTTCTGACTATCTGACTTTCGCTCCCCCAGAGCTGTACGTTATTCCTTTAGCTCTTCTGGAAGATTCTCTTTTTTTTTTTTTACTTAAATATCCTTCTAAAATATAGCTGCCAAAATTTTATCTATTACCACAGCTTCATTAGTGCCTTAAGCAAAGGAAATACAGCCTGCCTTTTGTATATTAGAAAAGTGTTTTGCTTTTGTTTTGTTTAGACCGTTCTAGGCAGAGCATTACATTAGAACCTCATCTTCATCTGTCTAATACCAAAGTTTTTCTTTAGAATGTTTGTTTTCTAGTAATGGGCCTGAAAAAATGGAGAATATGCTCTGGTTTTGGAAGAACACAACAAAGCAAAACTGCATTTGGCTCTGTTAGAAGCACTTCTATCTTGTAGTGCTTTGAAGAAAAAAAGTTGAGACTCTGCAGAGGTTGCAATTTTGCAAACCTTGAAATGTCGTGGGGGTTTTGTTTGTTGTTGGTTGTTTTTTTTTTTTTTTAATGACCTTCATCCCTCTGTCATCCTCCAAATCTTATAAAATATAAAAAGGGATTGATAGTATGGCAGAGTGGTGTTCGGATATGGTTATAAGCCAGAAGAATTAAACTTTTGAGACTTTTTAGCAATCTTGTTTGTGCCAGTGAGGATACTGAAAAATGACTGCTGTTCCTGTCAAAGTTTGTAAGTAGAATGTTATTTTAGGCTTCTTGATGTAGACAAGCTTTTACCTGTGTATACTCTTACTCATGCCTAAAATGTAGTGTTTTTTCACAGCTAAATACAAGCTGAAACAGTTCTGAATTTAGTCGATGATGCAATTGGTGAGGGGAGGCAAGTCAGAGAGAAAGTGATGGTATATATGTATATATTTCAAATGTTCTACTTACAGCTGCATTTTTTTTTTATCCTTTGTACATATTATTTCTGATATGTAGTGGTTTTATTCCACCAGTGTGATTTTTTTCCACAGGAGCAGGGGGTGTAGCGTGTAAAATACTGTTATCTGGAAAGTACACAGTTGAGGACTTAATTGGTTCTGTAAGGTAGGGGCAGGGGATGCATCTGTGATGACTTCTGGAAATGCAGTAGCAACATGGTTTCTGGCTCCACGTGCTGTGTGTGGGGAAACTTGCTTTTGATAAGTTGCTATTTGATGACCTTTAAAGGAGTGGCAAATGTAGTAGAGAACCGACTGATGTTACTCTCAAGGCAAGAAGTCTTTGCTTTAAAAAGGTGATGTGGAATTATGAGGAATGCATAATTCCTATATGGCTCCTCCTGGTAACACCACTCCTCTAGGAAAGAGGAGGGTATCTCTTGATCTGATAAATTGATGGTGCAAGACATAGAATGTACCTATGTGCTAACTGTGTACCATATTTAGGAAAAATAAGGAGTGTGTGCATGTGTTTGGGGAGTAGGAGTGATTCAGTTCATGTTTTTGATGAACTACCCTGGAGAATCCGTTACGAAAAGAACAATATACTTAAAATACTGTTTCCTATTTTGTTAGAGAGAAGGCTTGGCAACTCTGTCAAAGGGTGCAAGTAATGAGCATAGAGACTCCTATGGGCCAGGAGGTGATATTGACTTATTTACCCCCATCCCTGCTTCAGTTAGGAGTCACAGGTTCAATATTTTATAATTTTGGGAAAGGTGTGTGGTTTAGTTTTGCTAGAAATTTTGGGGTTTAAGTACTGCTGCTTGAAATTCTGTATATTGCATTATGCAGGAAGTCAATTTAAATAATTGTCTCTTAATACCACTGATAACCTTTTTGGATCCAGTCATCAAAAATGTATGGAAGAGGAGGTTGTAGATCTTGAATAGTAACTTAGATGAAGAACAGGGGTGTAATGTTTGGAGATATTGAAGTGGAGCTGGGTGAAAGGATAAACTCAACCAGAAGTGGGGAAAATAAATTTCTTTAATTTTCCCTACCCGTTGGTTTCCTCATGAAATATGGATTAGGTGATGGAAACCTGGATAATGAGTTACAAATGAGCAGAAGTGGTAGTCAGTAGGTCTGCTTCTGAGACACAAATGCTTGTCAGTAGTTGAATATTGCTTTTTATTCTGATTCATTCTCCAAAGCAAGTGCAGAAATGGAAAAAGATATTGTAAAGGGTGACATCTTCCGCATGACTGAAGTCACTCTTTGAAACAGGATTCTTGGTTGTTTAGGCGCTGTTTATATAATAGACTAAACGAATTTTGTAAAAACTCAAAAAGATTCTCCTGTCTGGTCTTACTTTGGGCCTTCTGTTCTGATTCGTGCTGTACTATGTCTTAGTCTCTGTTTAAGAGTGTGATTATTTTGTTGTTGCTGTTTTGTTTCTAAATATCCTATTGTTCTTGCAGGCTTCTGATCCAAGTAGTTCTTTCTGGTAGTTGCCATTTTCAGTTGATCTGCATTTGAAAAAGGCTTTGTAAAAAGCTTTGTTAATGTGTTGTTTGCAGATGGTACAGTTGCATGTTGGGGAAGAAATGCAGTTTAGCACCACTGAAAGAGGAACTTCGAATCCAGGGGGTGAGTTTGTATATAGTCCAGGTATATTCTGTATACGTTTGACACAATATATGCTATGTTCTGATGCATGTGGGTAATTATTATTGAATTAATTTACTGAGTTTTTTATTTACAAGAAGAAACTGCAAGTCCTTGTTAGGGTACAACTCAAATCAGTTGAGTTATTAATTATTGTAGATTCAAAGCTGATAGATAAGTAGCACATATTGTCTCCAGATTGTTGTCTTTATCACGTGTAGAAGCATGTCTTTGTCCATTCTGCTTTAAAATAGCCCTAACAGGGCTATTGTAAAAAAAAAAAAAAAAAAAAAAAAATTATAGCTCTCTTTCATGAAATCTAGCAATTTGGTTGATAAAAGAAAAGGTTATTATTTAAAGTGCAGCAATTTTTGTTTGTGTTCAATTCTGGCACCAAGTAAAATCAAACCTTGTGTTATTATCTCATGCAAGAAGGCTGTGCAAAGGACTTTATGGCTTTCTGAAAGAAGTGTAATCTTCTCTAATTTCCATACAAAGAAAGTGATTGTGAGATCTGCCCTTGTATTTGGTAGAGAGGTGAAGGAAAGAGACTGCATGGTGAAACCAATTCCCAGAAAGATGAACTACAGGCCATAGGGAATCCTTAAACTTAACGCCAAAAGCAGATACTGAGCTAGGCACCAAATTTCAAGTATCTGACTATATTCCCTATCCTTGAACTGTTGTACCTCAGCCTTAGTAAAGCGAGAGAAATCCTTGCAAACCTTGCATAGAAAAGCTAAGTTTTTCTTTTGTATTTTTCTTGAAATTACCATTTTCATTTTGTTCAGGTTTGTAATCTTTGTTGTAATAGAGGTGGGAATATTTTCCTTGTAACCAAGCACAGGCTGTGTTGTGGTGTAGGTTAGGATGCAGCATAAATGTTCCAAAAAGTCCACCCATTGATCAAAATTGTCTTGATGTTTGCTGTGTTTATTGGAAATTTGTATAGCATTAAGAATTCAAAGGCAGGAAAAGTTCCAGGATAGAGACACCTTTTCATCTCTCTTCTTGAAGGCGTTTTTCAAAAGTAAGATTATTATTTTTTTTTTTTTTTTCTGTGCAGACCTGTGGCTTATGCTCTGTAGGAGATAATTCAGAGTGAGCTGGGGTGGTTGATATTTATCCTTGCTAGTATTTAGCACATTCTCCATACTATACATAAATGCCTTGCAGCCTCCATGTGTGGAAAGACTACTTAACACTAGCATTGGATCTGAGCTTTATATTTAAAGGTGGTTTAAGTTCAGACTTAATTTTTTGGGGGCAAAGATAGAGAAGCGTTTTTGGGTGCATTTCTGCCATCTGCAGACAGCGAGTGAGTGGCTTGGCTTCCCAGCCCTTCATTACCTTTGTTCTGTGTTCCTTTGCTACAGCAATGGGTTCAGTATTCAAATGTAGGACAGGAGCAGGTTCTGAACAAGGAGAAAGGATGTGCTTTTTGCAGAATCAGAATGCAGATGTGTGCTCTAAGTGTGCTGGATCGCTGCACAAAAAGGGTTATGTTGTGTGTTGCTGAACTTGAAGGTCTGAAAGGGCATAGAGATGGCACAGCAGAGAGGGGGAAATCTTGAGCACTGACCAGCTTCAGCTGGCACTGACATCCATGAGCCATGTCAGAAGGAATCTCAGTTTGTAATTTTTTTTTAATTTGAAAATGTGTGCAGTAAACCAATGTTGTTTATTAATATAAAATGAGGTTTTGTGTTGCTTCTTTGCATAGGTTACTAAAGTTACTCATACTGAATTCTGCCAAGGACGCACCATGAGATGGGCACTGGCATGGAGTTTCTATGATGATGTACAAGTACCTGTAAGTGGCTTAATTTTGTTTTGCTTGTGATTGTCTGTGCCTCTTATTTGAGGAAGGGCCTGATGAGCTATAGCTGCTGTGAAACAAACTGTTCTTCACACTGGAACGTTGGACGCGCTGGGCTATATGGACCGTGGGATTTTGTAACTGGCTGCTAGTCTGTTAGCAGTAGTTACATGCACTTCATAAATGACCTGTGTTTAGGGAGGGAAAAAAGAAGCCTGTGCAGGAACTTCCTGTGGGTTTCAGTGAAAGTCAGGGTTGCTTGTAACATGCTTCAAATAGCAATTTAGTATTAAAAATGTGCAAAGTTTCTGGCTAGATTTGAACTTCAAGCTTCCCTCTGAGATATTGGTTTTAATATACCCTATAAATTCTGTTACCAAATAGACATGAACATGTCTAGCGCAGTCTTGTCTACATGAATGTAAGTGGAGCTTATTCACCTTAGCTAATGTGAGCCAGTTGCTTTTTTGGATCCAGATGTACATGTACTGTAAGATAGGTATAGACAATAACGAACCTTACCAGAGATGCAAGTAAACCTTCAGTGAGCTTGGATCAAAATGTGGGTATTAGCACTTGACCTCTATTCCCAAAAGCAGCTGCATTTTCTCAGCTCACAGAGAGCTAATAGTGTGAAGGAACCAATGAAGCTTTTTGCCTAATATATGAAGATAAACTCCATCTGTCCATCAGGCTAGTGTGAAGTGCTTGATCCTCTTAGCTGTTTTTAACCTAAAACTCTTTGGAGTGAAGTGAAACACAGGCCATTTCAATGACCGTTTAGTGGCTTACATTACGCTGTTAATCCTCATGCCTTCTGAGTACAAAAGTCATCCCACTAATACTGCATAGCTTTGTATTTTTTTTTTTTTTGTTCTTCTTCTAGTCACCTCCCTCTAAAAGAAGAAAATTGGAAAAACCCCGAAAACCAATTACATTTATGGTCTTGGCTTCTACAGTCAAAGAGTTATCCATCAAAGCTGCAGCTATGGGCTGGGATGCTGTAGAAGCTATTGCTGTGGTTAGAGCCTGGGTAGAGAAGATTCTCACAGATCTGAAGGTACGGTATTAAATTAAAACAGCATCCTACTTGAAAGCATAAATGCGAGAGGATAGTATGAAGTTCTGCTGTTTTCTGCAATAGGTTCAGCATAAACGTGTTCCATGTGGAAAAGATGAAGTCAGCCTGTTTGTTACTGCCATTGAAAACTCCTGGATTCATTTGAGGAGAAAGAAACGAGAGAGAATAAGGCAATTACGAGAACTTCCTCGGGCTTCTGAAGATACACTGCAAGCAATGGAAGAGGAAAAAAACAGTCAGAAGAGTGTGAGTAACAATTCAGACTGTGAAAACCCCAAGACTGAAGACTCTGAAACAGGGTTTATGGCACCTGATGAGGCTGTCCACTTGAACACAGGTGATGAGCTTATGGAAGAATCTGCTCCTAGAGAAGACCACAGTGAGCACATGAAGGAGGAGGAGACAGAAGGAAAGTGGGCAGAAATGTCACTTGGCAAAGGTTCCATTAATGCAAAGAAGGAACCTTGCCCTTCAGAGGAGGCCAGCAATCTGACAGTTGAAAAAGAACAAAGTACCAAAGAAACTAGTAGATGTTTTCTCTTTAAGTGTTTAATGAATGTGAAGAAAGAAGGAAATGATGTTTTAGTAGAAATGCATTGGGTTGAAGGACAAAACAGAGACTTGATGAACCAGTTGTGCACATACTTACGGAACCAAATTCTTCGACTGGTTGCTAGTTAGCCCTTTTTCCTACTTTGGTAAAGTAAGTCAATCCTCAAATTTTGTAAACTATTTTTAATGGATTAAAATTTTCACTCAGCAAAACCTGTTTTTTTCCCCTTTAAAAAATGAGTAAAATGGAGATTAAAGTCCCCTTTAATATTTTAAATAGCTTTTTCAAAGCTGCAAGGAGTACATGAAATGTACTTCATTGGATGTGAAGTGATGGGGAAGTAACGGATTTTGTGCTGCAGTTGCAAAACTACATGTTAAAGTGAAATATGTCTATGCTGTGACTGTTTCAAATATCGACAGTGCTTATTCTTATTTTTTTCCAGTGCAACAGATTTATATATTGCTACTAAGTAGAAATCTTTACTGAAATATTTTCTTCAGTATTTTTTCAATACTAATGCAGGAAATGGTTAGTCTGCTGTGGGAATTGTTTTCTGCAGCAAGGAGTCTTCAACTAAGGATTTAAGTATGCCTCTCTTCCCTTTAATGCATGTAACCTTTGGTCTACAGAGTGGCAAGATGGATACATCGTTTAAGTGTCAATTCATTAAAATAACTGCTTTAGAAAAAATGTGTGTTGTATTTTACTGGTGCTTGGGCTTTGAAATGCAGAAGAGCCTGCTACTAGTATCTGGTTTGGTAAATTTTGTTCTAAAAAATAAGCTCTTTGAGCTGCTTGGTTTAAAGAGGATTTAACTATGTTGACTGTTCCACTAGACCATTCCTTACACTGATTCAAATAAAATTGTCTGAAATGACAGCAGTATTCTTGAAGGATTTTGCTTCCATTTAAGCTTAAGAGATTGCTTTAATGGCAGGAATGAGAGCATGTGCTCATCTTTTGGGCCAGAAATTACTTTTGCAGGACAAAGACAGGTACAGAAGTTTTCGGCTGTTGCGAAGGAAGACGACTGGTCGGAAGGTGGTTGCTTCCACACATGACTCCCTAATCCTTTTTACCACCAGCTGTTTTTCCAATTTTTCTGGGCCAATGACCTCTTCCTGTGAGAAGAGAGGCAGAGGGACATGGGTATTGGGTGCCTTGGAGAGGGTGCGTGTGTGTGTGTTCTGAGATTATGAGCACTGGCACCGCTTTGCGTGAAGTCAGCCTCCCAAGCTGTGATCCATTTCTCTGTAGAGATGTAGAGAACATGGAGAGAAAGTATTTCTGAGAGTGCGTGCATGTTGCCCAAAATAAAAGATGCACTCCTGATGGACAGAAGGAAATATTGCACATGTTCATGCTACTGTAACCGCTCTGACTGTTCACCCGTAGTTGTCAGTATGTTTTCCTAAGTTGAAATTAAAAGCAACTTAGAAAAGCCTGTTGTTAACTGTTGTGTATGGTGCTACTTAGCACTTGTCCTGCAAGGGATGGACAACGACTTGTGTTTTTGGGGTAGTGCAGAATTTTCCCAGAACTGCTGCTGATATTCACATCATGGGGGAGAGATGAAACTACCCCTGTTCTCTTAGAATCTGAAGTGGGTGTTTTGGCTAGCTGAGCTGTTAAAAACAGAAAGCAGGGCTTTGTCCTCTATGCTGTTGTTCCCTGTTTATCTTTTCCATCTGTCTTCCTTCGCGGATGAAGAAGCTCTCCAAGGTACGCCTGCGCGCTTGTGGCATGCTTGTTTTGCTGAAGCGGACTGTATTATGTGCCTTCGTTAACTACCTTGTCTTTCCCCTGTACGACATGGATAACCTACGCCTCTGCAGCGTGCCCAGTTTGTTGCAGTGACACCCTCCCCTCCTCGAACGCTCCCGCGCTTCGCCCCGAGGTCCCCAGCCCGCCCGGCCCCTG